TAAAATATGAATAAATTGCTTAAAAAAACTATTTTCGGGTATTCTGCTCATGGTTGGCGCCGGCGGGATACACCGGGTATTTTGAAGTTTATTAGTCGGGTAAATCTACGACTGTTATCTGGCAGCCCTGAATATTACCAAACAATGTTCGATAGTAAGGAATTAACCAAATTATCACCGCAAATATATAACTCAATAAACGTAAAACTTAACAAATACTGTATGAAAAGACTGGATTATGAATTTAACTTATGAGGATACAGCCCTACTTTGATTTTTGAATACACACGCTCACTTATAAATACATACTCTCACATTCGCATATCCACTCATAAATACACAGATTTAGTTGTTTTTTTTTTTGTTTTGATTTACGAATGTACCTTAGCTTATCTATACATATAATAAAATTATAACTAAGCCGAATCTGTACATTAAATATTTTTTGGAAAATCTTATTGAAATAGACATTATTATCGATACAGCGGCCTAATCTATAGTTTTTAGAATTTTTGTCTGTCTGTCTGTTACCGCATCACGGTAATTTCATGAAAATCATTGAAGGGATTTTCATGAAATTTGGTATGGTGATAGCAGGCTATCCGGGTCAACATACCTATAGGATACTTTTTACCGCGGGAAAATATCTCATTTCTGAAAAAAAACAAAAACTGCATTGTAAGAGTATACTAATATGTAAAACTTAAGAATTTGGTTTTTTGGTAATCTGAACGCGGGCGGAGCCGCGGGCAATGCTAGTATAATATAGTATTTGTTGTGGAAGAACGAGGCCTCCTGTCACAGCTTATTATTTTTATTTTCGAGGAAGCCCTCAACTTTGTACTTTAAATGTAATTCGGTTAGCAAATAAATAATTTTCGTTAAAATGTATTTGTAGTGGCGACTACTAAAGAGATAGATAAGAGTTGGATGAAAAATATAAGGTATTCTTGCAACAATTTAGAAATGTAATTTTATTGGTTAATTTTAATCATTGCTAATGCTTTTCTTTTAAAACCATTTTTCTAATAATAAAATTAATCTATAAGGGAAAAACATCACACACAACTTTTTCTCTTTCACCTCTATAATTAATCCAAAAACATAGCAATACTTAAATCTCCAAAGTATATTTTTTGTCAAAAAATATTGAACATACAGACAAAATGTATTACAAAATTTTCCTTCATATAAACTAGTACAATCACTTAAAGATATCCAACTATTAACTTAGACCAAACGTGTGCATATCAAATACCCTTCCCGTATCTTTCTATCTACCAATTTACTACCGACACGGTGTCCATAACGATTCGTGTACTTCCTCTTTTTGCCGATACAATAAACCCCATACTGTGAAACCTCTAGCTATCTGTTCAATAATAGAGATGGTTCAGTAGCAGATAACGTGAACTAAATGGATTGAATTTACACTTTATTACTTTAAAATAAAGTTCAATTTCTATTAAAACCAGATTAAAATATATAGAACTTTATCGCTCATTAAATAAGGGTGAAAGTGCACTAGCAAGTAGTAACACACCCTGTACTGAAAGGACGTAAACGGTATTATGGGTCGTGTGTTAACGTGCTCTCAAATTTGATTATCCTGGCTTTAACATTTTATTTTTAATCCTATGTTGGCATTGCGTCTGGCAAATACGGGGATGTCCGCTTAATACAGCCATTCACCGTTTCACAGCTAATTTGTGGTGTGAAGGTTGTTTAAATTACGTGAATGGTAACCTTATTTGTTGTAATGATGAGTTGTAAATAAATTATTTAATGCAAATAACATAAAAAGTATTGTATTGATATAAATTAAATTAATTACCTTAGAAACTTCTGATCTCATTGCCACTGAAAAATAAGTATTATCTCATACTGTAAAAAAACCATATTAATAAAAATATAACATAACGGCTTTGACTGTTTTTTTTAAATATCATGCCAATTATTATGCCATGCCAAACTATCTCTTAAGTCTCTCGCCTGCTCTTAACAGAATTGCCTTCCAGGTGGTAGCTTCCTCACGGACTTACAAGTCTGACAATTAATTTAAATATAAAAATTTACGATTTTAAAGTGCTCATAAAGTATGCAAAATTTGTGTCTATTCGAATAAAGTATATTTTGATTAGATTTGATCGCAATTTCTGGCACTCGCACGGTACGGAGTGGCGGAAAAACGTTAAAGAAATTATATAGCAAAAAGAGCGAGCGAGTGATATAGATTATTTATTATTTAGAGCCAAACCGCAGGAGTGAAAGTTAGTTGATGAAAAGTTACTCTTAATTAACTGGTAATAGCGGAAAACAAAGGACCAATTTGGCACTTTTTGTTTACTTTTCTTAGAAAATTACTTGATAAAACTGCACTCATCTCAAAATATCTGACAAGAATGAACAGAATAAGACCTTTAAATCCCATATATAGCCCGAAGGTAAATCGTATAATATTGAATTACCTCCTCACATACCAAATGTTAGAACAACTTCATACATCGCTTGGCAAACGTAGCGTTTTCTAAATCAAAACGGTTGGAGCAATATCCGGCAATCGAGTCGGACCCACACAGACTGTCTGGTGAATTTATTACGCGTACGTAACCGAACCGTATACTTTCACTTTAGTTACTCTTGAATATAAAATTTAAGGAAAAAGATATGTATTGATGCATCTAACTGAAATTTCGTGTAGAAGGTCGTAGATTTGAATCCCGTATAGGCGATACGCTTGAACTTATAAAAATTAGATCCGCCAATCCCAACACGCAATTCATTTAATATTAGGGGTGTTCCTACGTCACATCGGATCACGCCACCGGCTCGTGATCGAACCGGTTTCGCGACAGTCACTCCTGCGACGCGCCGAGCCCTCTAAACGCCCGGGACTCGCTCACCACCTCTCGCCGTGTGCATACGTACGGTCGTCTCAAGAAATCAACAGCGATAATACAGTCCATATTACCACGAAACGCATTTTTATTTAGTCAAGACCACCAGCATTACATCTGGAGCTTGGCATTCAACATATGGTCCTTCGAAGGAAGAAGATAGCCGTCTTATTGCTGTGCACATTGCCCGTGGACTTCGGACCGCCCGTCGACCGCCAGCGCCAAGCCGCGGAGAACACTTAGAGGACAGTCTACCACGTGGAGGAATATTTAATATTGAGTGAGTCCGTTCCATATCCTTTATTTTCCATCTTTTCTAGCTTTTTTCCTTCCTTGGAATTTAGGATTATTCTATCGCGGATCAGGCATATTGATCTCTTCATATAAGCTAGCATATTCTTTATAGCTATAATTTAAAAAAAAAAAAAAAAAAAAAAAAAATATAATAAAAAAAAAAATCTTATATATTCGTATGAAGCTTTAATAAATAATAATACATAAATTCATTTAAATCGCATTCCGCTTAGTCATCTTATTCACTTCGAGCGTTTAAACATTACATAAAATTGCATTTATATTTTTTATCGCAAGTCATTAGTGAATCTTTTGTGTTGAATGGACGGGTTGCGATAAGCCTTTTGTACTTGCTTCAACATTCATTATTACTTTGAACAGCTGTTTATACAGATATAATTTTTTTTTTACAAACTTGTAATATTATTATTTATTTATATCGCTTTGCTCGCGCATAAAATTCATCTTAATTTCTTAATATGTCTGACGCAAAATTGAGAGATCTTGTGAGAAAGCGTGGCAGCTTTAAGGCTAAATTAACTTCATTTAGTAATTTTCTTAGATTTTTACCGAGCAATAATTTAGATCCCTTTCAATCGGCGGAACTACAATGCCGCCTTGATCAAATGGAGATTCTATATAAGGAATTCGACGTGTTACAGACGGAGTTAGAATTGTTGTCGGAGGACGCGGATGCCATGTACGCTGAGCGGGAACAGTTCGAGATGCAGTACTACGCGCAGGTTGGCCGCGCTAGAGTAATACTTGCTCCCGCGCGTCCTACGTCGCCAGCGCTCGCCTCTGCCACGTCGGATGGCAGTGATCATCACGGCTCTGGTTGCAAGCACGACTTCGTCCGACTACCCAAGATAGACTTGCCTCACTTTAACGGGGACTATCAGCACTGGCTTGAATTCCGAGATACGTATATTTCCTTAATTCACGATAATAAAAGCATACAATCAATTAATAAATTCCATTATTTGCGTGCCGCTTTAACCGGCAGTGCATCGTTAGTGATAAAAAGCATTGACTTTAAGGCCGATAACTATACTATAGCATGGCAGTTGTTGTTAGACCGCTACAATAATGAAAGGTTGCTTATCAATAATCATGTTCAAGCGTTATTTAATTTTTCTGTTATACATAAAGAATCATGCCATTCATTACGTAATATGATAGATATTATAAATAAAAATTTAAGAGCACTTGACACTCTCGGACAGCCTACAGAACATTGGGACACATTAATCATTTATATGATGTCTAAAAAATTGGATACTGTGACCAACCGAGAGTGGGAAGAATTTAAAAATAGTTTAGATAATTTTCCAAATTTAAAAAATTTTCAAAAATTTTTATCTAACAGAGCTGACTTACTTGAGACCTTGCATGACAATAAAAAACTTAAAATGTAATTATATAAATTCTAAACAACCTCATGAAATTAACAAAAATACAAACTATCTTACGACTACATATATTAAATCAGAAAAAGTTACATCATGTCCTATGTGTTCTCAAAATCACTTCTTATTCAGCTGTCAATCCTATAGAAATCTCGATGTTGATTCGAGAATCAAAAAAGCTTCTGAAAGCAATATTTGTATGAACTGCCTTCGTCCTGGTCATACTGACAAACGATGCAAACTGTCACATTGCAAGTATTGCAAATTAAAACACAACACCCTCTTACATAAGGAATCTCAAATAGACCTTAAAACAAGTGACAATATCACATTGTCGACTAATATTATTAATAATACACAATCAAAAAATAATCAGGCCCTTATAATATTATCCACAGCTATGGCAAAGGTGGCTGATGTCAATGGGAGGCTTCATCCTGCCAGACTCCTCTTAGACAATGGCAGTACTTCCAATTTCATCACCCAGGAACTCTGTGGAAAGCTCGGTCTGGTAAAACAAAGCTCTAATTCAACCATCTCAGGTATTAACGGTCAAGTTTCTAGTACATCTGAAAGTTGTCATCTTACTATACAATCTTCTTGTGGTGACTATCAGGTGAGCGTAGACTGTCTTATTTTACCGACAATAACACATTCACTGCCTAGCACTTACGTAGTTAAAAAACATCTTTCTATTCCCGTAGGCCTTCAGCTAGCAGACCCTACATTTAATACACCTTCAGCGATTGATATTCTCGTCGGCGCTGAAGTCTTCTGGGACGTCTTAGGTTCCAATTCGATCAATTTAGGTAATAATCAGCCTAGGTTGCAGTCATCAAAATTAGGTTGGCTTATTTCTGGTTGTGTATACCAGTCCCGACCTCGTCAACGTTCATCTTTGTGTCATTTTCTGTCAAGTAGGGAGAGTGATCAGCTAACTCGCTTTTGGGAGCTTGACTCTGTATCAAACCAAAGCTGTTTCTCTTTAGAAGAGGAGGCTTGTGAGAAGCTCTTTCAAGAGACTACCTATCGTAACGAGTTCGGCCAATTCATCGTCACCATCCCATTGAAAGACTCGCCTGAGTGTTTGGGGGACTCTTATGCAATGGCCAAGCGTCGGTTTATGTCCTCAGAGCGCAGGTTTGAACGTGACTCCGTTTTTAAAGACAGATATTTACAATTCATTAAAGAATACATAAATCTTAATCATATGACAGAAAATTCAAAATCATTAAAGCATTCAAAATTTAATTATTTTATGCCACATCACGGTGTGATACGTGAGTCTAGTACTACCACAAAACTTCGCGTAGTATTTGATGCTTCAGCCTCTAGCACCTCAGGCAAGTCTTTCAATGATATACAGAGAGTAGGTCCAACTGTGCAGGAGGATTTATTGTCAATTCTCTTAAGATATAGGCAATATCAATTTGTTGTGACAGGAGATATTGAAAAAATGTATAGAGCTATTTTAGTTAATCCACCACAGCGCCAGTTACAGCAAATTGTCTTCAGATTTGATTCCTCAGAGCCAAGACGACTTGAGCAATTTGTTCGCAATAGAGTTACTGAAATACAAGAAATTACAGCTGGCCAGACCTGGAGCTATGTGCCTTCTAAAAGCAATCCCGCCGATTTGGCTTCTCGAGGGGTGAAGGCTGATTACATCAGCGCGTCCACTCTCTGGTGGTCAGGTCCGGATTTTATCAATCAGACTAACATCCAATTTCCTACACTATCTAATTCACAGTTTCGTTCATTACCAGACATATCTTTGCATTCAAGTATGGATAACAACAAAAATGATAACAATTTAATTTCAAATTTAATACATAAATTATCATCATATACAAAATTGGTTAGAGTCATAGCATACATAAAAAGATTTATAAACAATTGTAGGAATCATAAAAACAAAATATTATCTTACCTAACTCTTATAGAATTACAAATGTCACAGTTGTTAATATTACAGATTTCTCAGCAGGAAATGTTCCCTGAGGAATATAAAATACTTATAAAAAATCAGGCCTTACATAAGAAAAATCGATTAATTAGTCTTTCACCCTTTATTAGTTCAGAAAACTTAATACGAGTAGGTGGACGTCTTAAAAATTCTAACTATTGTTATGACGTCAAGCACCCTATCTTATTGTGTAGTAAGCATCATGTAACAAAAATCATATTTGAAAAAAAACATAAAGCACTTTGTCATGCAGGACCTCAATTACTGTTAGCACACATTAGGCTCACTTACTGGCCCCTAGCAGGAAAAAACCTAGCAAAGCAAATAGTACGTAATTGTCTTAAGTGTACTCGTCTCAAAGCGCAACCTATCCAGGTCATAATGGGAAACCTACCTAGCGATAGGACGAACCTAGAGTTTCCTTTTTTGAATACAGGTCTTGATTACGCCGGGCCAGTGCTGATAGCCAACCGAAAAGGTAGAGGTTGCAAGTTAATAAAATCTTATATTTGTGTTTTTGTGTGTCTTGCAGTCAGAGCTGTGCATCTCGAGCTGGTCTCTGACCTCACAAAAGAGGCGTTTCTTGCAGCCTTCAGCCGATTCATCAGCCGTCGTGGCAAACCTCAGCGGGTGTACTCCGACAATGGGACCACATTCGTGGGAGCTTTCAATGAGCTTTCACGTTTTCTCCAAGTTTCTTCTGTCTTCATAGAGTCAGACATTGTAAATCAGGGTATAGAATTCAAATTTATACCTCCCTATACTCCACATTTTGGTGGAATTTGGGAAGCAGCAGTAAAGCAGTGTAAACATTTGCTACATAGAGTCATGGATTTAACTCACTTAACTTATGAAGAGCTTTCAACGTGTCTGGTTCAAGTAGAGGCTATCTTAAATTCTAGACCTTTAACACCTCTTTCCACAGATCCTTCAGATTTGTCTTATCTTTCCCCTTCTCATTTCCTCATCGGACGAACTCTTACATCATATCCTCGTCCTCAAATAACCAATAGCAACATCCAACGGCTACAACGCTTCGATCGCGTTGAGAAGTTGCGTCAACACTTCTGGCAACGCTATTCTCATGAATATGTGTCTCTGCTTCAACAGAGGACTAAATGGCAGACTTTGGGGCAGGACCTAAAGGCAGGCACAATGGTCCTAGTAAAGGACGCCAATATGCCTCCCCTTTTATGGCTGCTTGGCAGAGTTATTGCTGTTAGAACTGGATCGGACGGACACAGCAGAGTTGCGGATATCCTTACGAAAAAAGGAACTATTACACGAGCATATAATAATATCTGCCCTCTTCCAGTGTCCTGATCAACTTCTTGAAGTCTTCCTTACTTCAACCCGGGGAATATGTTCCTACGTCACATCGGATCACGCCACCGGCTCGTGATCGAACCGGTTTCGCGACAGTCACTCCTGCGACGCGCCGAGCCCTCTAAACGCCCGGGACTCGCTCACCACCTCTCGCCGTGTGCATACGTACGGTCGTCTCAAGAAATCAACAGCGATAATACAGTCCATATTACCACGAAACGCATTTTTATTTAGTCAAGACCACCAGCATTACATCTGGAGCTTGGCATTCAACAAGGGGAAAGAAGAGAACGAAAAGCCATTAGGTTTTATCTATCTAATGGGCGATTGTAGTTCGCCAAAAATGATCTTCTACTACTTAAGTCTTATTTAAAACCTACATATATTAAAAATAAATCAAAAATTAAACGAGAGAATGGATAAAAATTGAACCAAAACGAGTTGATAATGATGATGATAATGAAATTATGATTAATTCACATACTCAATAATTAAACTTGGCCCAACTCAGGACTAGAACTCAGGACCAAGATCTGCATCCGTACATGCCAACAACTAGACCACCGAGGCGGTTATTTATCAAAACGGTAAACGGTAAACGGCAAGCAGTAAGCCGTATTATACCTATTACCTACCTAATATTTTAAATACGAAATTGTGTTTATTACTTAATATATAAGAGAAACTAGGTATGTATTAAAAATAGAATATCTAGTTGACGTAATTTTTGTTCCTGTATATAGACAAAAGTGATAATAACTTGTAATTAGGGATTTGGTCAGCAAAGGAAAGAAGTGTTACTTTTAACAAATATTATTCCTTTAAATGATCATACAATATATACCATTTACAATTCCTGTATAAATTCAAGAAGGAACACTAAGTAAAACATGAAAAATTCCGTTGAAGATTTTCTAAGGTATTTTAAATATTCTTTTAAAAACTACTTTAGTGTACATAATATAATAATACGAAAAATAATAAATATTATTATCTCCATCCTCGCGATCGTTGGCAATGAAAGTTTTCATTATAAAAGCACTAATGAAAACACTTTAACTTTCTTAAGAATTTGTTCTTAATTAACCGTTTTTTATCTTTTTTTTAACTACGAAGAAAAGATTAAACTATTATATACTAGCTTTTGTCTCCGGCTTTGCGTACATTTTTCTCTTTAAGACTATACTTTGAAATGGTCATTGTAACGGACCTACAATATAAAAATCATAGAAATCCCTCCAAACGACTGAAGATAAAACAAAATGAGCTAATCAAAATCTTTAATAACAGATCCCTTATCGCTCAATCTTGTTGTTAAAGTTTATTTAATAAAACAAATATTTCAGAATATTTTTTTAATTACGTAGATATATTATTTTGTATTGTATCAAAAATAAAATTTTTATCTATGCTTTTTTTTTATTAATTAAATAAACGACCGGTAAATTATCTAACTACCATTTCCAAACAATTTCTATGGATATTGCTGAAAGATTACGCGATATTTAAATAATATAAAAAAATAAACAGTTTTCAGGCTAGTATATGCCGAAATGAAAAACATCTGTTTTAAGATCACTCAAGTGTCTATCCGTCTGTCACAGCCTTTTCCTTCTAATCAAGTGGATAAAAAATTCATGCTGGAATCCTCGTTACTATTTATATTGTAGTGAACACAAGTAAAGTGAATAACTGTAAAATTCCGCAAAACGTAAGTATATCTCTTGAACTATTATTTTTTTCGGAAGTATAAAGCATAAAGTTGATTTAGAACTAAAATTACTGTAAAACCACTAGACTTTCTAAAAAAGAAAGCCAATTTTACGACCTTTTATTAGTTACCTTTTATAAATAAGTAGAGATCAGTGTTAGAAAAGATAAATATTCTTTGGAAGTAAAATACTAAATTATTGTAAGTTTATATTAATTTTATCAGTTTACGAGTGATGTTATAATATAAAAGAGAATAAAAATCACTTCTGTTTCTCCTCTGTCAACCGATTATTTTTGTTTATTAGTTATTGATGAGCTAAGTGTTATCAATATATATATATTTTTGGAAACAGTTAATTTTTTTACCACTGGGAGAACACTAGTTACCGTAATTTCGTCATCTTCGGGACCATACCGTCATCGTAAGCAGGTCATCCACATCATCTTATCGATAAACCTACAGCTACATCATCTTATCGATAAACCTTATAACGGAACCGTCATAGCATAACAATCTATGTATGTATTTTTTAATTAATTAAAGTTAGTAAAAGTTGACTTCGATGTAACCGCTTTTGTTATATATTTTTCTGAATAAGTTCTATACCAACAGCGATGTAGTTGGAAATTTAAAAATAAAGGTGTGGAAACCGCGTTGAAAGTTTTCAAAGTACAGTGCATCTTCACTATCTTTATGATTATTGTACTCCGTATTTTTCTCTCTCTACGGTCCTTTGTTAAAATATTTTTACGCTACAACGGCCTTGCAATCTCCCTCGTACATTGTTATATGAACTTTAGTACTGTTAAACTCATTTTAGTAAATAACGTTTTAAGGTTTAGTATAGATTTCTCAGAGATGAGATATTTTCCTGCAGTAAAAAGTCCTATATGTTGACCCGGATAACCAGCTATCATCATACCAAATTTCATCAAAATCTGTCCAGTGATTTTCTCGCGATGCGTTCCCACTTCTCAGACAGATAGGCATCAAAGCTTACAATACAATGCTTGTTTTTGTATTTTTGAAATTATCTTATAACTAGCGACTCACCCTCGCTCCACTCGGGTTCGTCCCTACTTACGTTTTAACGTTTAGTATAGATTTCTCAGAGATGAGATATTTTCCTGCAGTAAAAAGTATCCTATATGTTGACCCGGATAACCAGCTATCATCATACCAAATTTCATCAAAATCTGTCCAGTGATTTTCTCGTGATGCGTTCCCACTTCTCAGACAGATATTCATGAAAGTACCTTACAATGCTTGTTTTTGTAATATTGAAATTATCTTATAACTAGCGACTCACCCTCGCTCCACTCGGGTACGTCCCTACTTACGTTTAGTATAGATTATTCAGAGATGAGATATTTTCCTGCAGTAAAAAGTATCCTATATGTTGGCCCGGATAAGCAGCTATTATCATACCAAATTTTATCAAAATCCCTGCAGTGGATTTTCTGTGATGCGGTAACAGACAAACAGACAAAAATTCTAAAAACTATAAATTCGGCCTCTGCATCGATAACAATGACTATTTCCATAAGATTTTCCAAAAAATATTTAATGTACAGATTCGACTCAGAATTTTGTTATATATAGGATGAAAGTGAATTAAACTTAATGTAAAGTTATAAAACTTCATTGTAAAAGTGGTTTATAATTCGTTATCTTTAATGTTATTTTATTTCAATTAGTTGTTGAGTGACATTGATTATTTAAGCAAATTGAATATATCCAATGATTGTCGGCGTTATGGTAAGTGTATCTAGTAGTAGAAAATAGTGATCAAGAACAGAATGGCACTGAAACTGTGTACGGTGGCTGAAAAAACTGAATCTGGTGAAGTTATACCATAAAATGTCTATCGTGTAAGCGACGTTCTTTAATTTTCAATCTCTGAAACCTAGTTTGTAACAATCATGTAATATTAAATGAGCAATTCTTGTATAAATATATAAAATTTTATGTATCTCGTATAACGCTCTAACGACATGGTTTTTTTTTATTTAGATAAGATTTTGCTTTTTAAGGTTATCTATATATGTCTTTTCCGAAAAAAACACCGAGTAAAGCTTTGCCCAGGTACTGTTGGTTTATGGCCAGTAGAAATGGTGAACATTTAGCCTATATAAAGTTAATCTAGTATATCTATAAATCACTATAGTTTCATATAAATTCTCTTTACATGATCGTTAAATTCCCTTTCTACAAAGCTTGTAGTACAATGAAAACGTTACATTTAGCTATTTCCTAGAACACTACCCTTCTATTGTCGACGTGGTGACGACACACTCCATTAGATAGTGAATGGACTGCATCTGCCTCGTAAGTACTACGTTTGAGTATTTGAATTAGTTTTAAATATGAACAAATGCTGTATTGAGAATAATTTAAGTATATTAGATATTAGTTTTTAGCCAATAATATTACCTATAGATTCACAAATTTTCCCCGTTCTATTTTATGTAGACAATATGAATGTATGTATATACATGTAATTACAATATACAGGTGGTTAAAAATACTTTGACCAACTTCAGAAAGGAAGAGTGTATAAGTGAAATCTTCACTAATTGTACACATATTTTCGTATTTTTTTTCAAATAGGTAAGTTGGTGGTTCATTATAAACATGGAAAATATTAGTAGTTTTAAGTGTATTTTTTTTTAATTTAGCGTGAGTTTTTAGTTGCACTTTGAAGATTTATAGACTAGATACTGTTTTCAGGTAGAATTAGGATTAGATTTTCATTTTTCTAAAAAGTACCAACAGTCTGCTATCCCAATTCCTTTGTCGGTAAATTTCAGGTTTATCGGACAATCGTGGCTTCACGACTAAAATTTCCACTTTCTATACTAGTATGCATGGAGGTCCGCATGTATATCCATGTTCTGTACACGTATGTATTACAAACCCCGACACAGCCTAATAAAGTGTGTTGAGAGTGTCCTGTTCTAAAACTCTAGTTCGATCATATTGGGTGCACTAACGACTATAACTTAGGTAAGAGCCAAGCGAACGCAATAAAGTATTATAATTTTATAGTATTTAATTTAGTAATTTACTCAAAATCTGATTATAATAATTTCCGTTATATTTATTGTAATTTTGTGACTCTACATTTTTCCTTCGTAAAAGTTTAGATTGTTAAATATATAATATACTAGCAGCTCGCTCTCACTTTGCTCGTGTTCATCCTTAGGCACGTTCTAACGGTTATTATGGAATAGATAAACTATATACGAGTATTATATATTCTAAGTTTAAAGCACTTAAACATAGTCATCCCGATTTGTTAACACTTAAGCTGGCTACTCACATCCCTGCCGCAGAGGCAATCTAGGTTGTATTATGATTACTGCTCCGCTCCCTTGGGTAGTAGCATGATGATATAATTATATAATATCTAATGTGAAAAGATTAGTAGTTCCTTGTTGTTGTTATGATTAGCGCGTTCAAACAGACAAATGTATCTTCTGACCATTTCCCTATAGGGCCAATTTTTTTTTTTTAGGTTTTAAAATTATAAAATCTAAAGTGGTTCATCCACACACACATCACACTAGGCCAACAATTATTTTATTTTTCGTACTGAAAATATTTATAGAATCCATTAAAGTTTTATAGTTTTGATTTCTTCTTATAGGTACAAAGTCTTGCCCAAAACTAATAATTTACTATAAGCACGAGAAAATCTGTGTACTTATATTAGTTAATCAAAATATGTTAAATGTAATCAAAACCGCGGGGAAAGACTAAAAGTAAATTTATTTCTATGGGAAAAGTTCGTGTTATAATAAAGGAATTTTCGACACGCGAATGATGTAAATAAGCAGTATATAAATTCCGCCGTGATTACGCGTGATCTCCCCTCGCATATCCCATTAACTTGGTACATCAGGAAATCAAAATCCAAAGAATATAGAA